TTCCAAGCTTCAAATTTTTCCGATATATTTCCAATTCTTCCGTGTCCGATATCTGTCTTCAAATCGATTGCAGCATTCACTTACCTTACTTATTTTCATTCCAGCTCACTCGATATGCGCGAATCTATTAATCAAGCACTCATCCAGATCACCAATATCCCTAGTTAGCATTTTTAGTTGAATACAAATTCATATGGAATTGAACTGATACTTGGTACATTTACAGAAGAGATAGACATGGCGAAGCTGGGATATGGTGCACTTGCAGCTGTCGGAGGTGCTTTGCTCTATGCAAATCTCCCGACAAGTTGGACTATCGGCGCCGTGGTTCCGTCGGTGGACTACCTTTCCAAAGCAAAATTAATTCCTATCATCGACGACGAATCTCGTATTGATGAGAAAATATCAGTACTGGTGAGTTTTTTTCAGGCCTGAAGGGTCCTCATACTGTCGCATAGTTGTAATATAATTGTAGGAAGCCTCCCTTCCTTTTTAGGCTTCTTCATTGTTTGACAAGGGACCAACTATGGTGATGGCGGTGCGTCGACCAGGTTGCATGTTCTGTCGCAAAGAAGCTGCCGCTCTCAGCTCACTCGAGCCAGAACTGAAATCAGCCGGCATTGAGCTGGTACATTTTCCGTAGTATTTTCGTGGCTCTGGTATCGTTGGTAAATCCCTTCTTAACAGGTTGCTGTGGTCCACGAAACAAAGGGCGTGAACGAATTCAAGCCATATTTCAAAGGTGACGTCTACTTCGACAAGGAGGTCAGTGCACTTTCGAGCGACATCACGATCTCCTAACCCATTAATTTTGATCGACTTCTGAGTTCAAGCTTGCTGTTCTTTCAGCGCCACTTTTACGGACCTAATCAGCGCTGGCTTCCTCTGTGGATGGGATTCCTTCGGATTAAGACGTATTTGAACATTTATAAGACCAAGAAAGCTGGATTTGTCGGTAATACGGACGGTGAAGGACGACTTCTTGGAGGTATGTCTTTTCTGGTCTCCCGGGACCTTCTGTTCTTTGTGCTGTTTTCCGTTTTTGTTGTTTACGTGTTTGCGCTTCTCTCTTTCCACGATATCCACGTGATCGCTTAGTGACTTGTGGTCGGCGCTAAGCGATCGCGTGAATGTTTTTTCTATTCTGCAGAAGGATACAAAATATTTACCACAGAGAACCATCGCTTTCAAATGCTTTTTTTCAATTTTTATAAACCATATCAAAAGGTTGAAAGGAATTAGCACAGGGAGAGGATACTTTTTCGTTTAGTCTCCGTCTAAGGGCACGTGCGAAACGGAGACTAAACTACTCTTTGATCCCACCCCCTAACTAAAATTTCGACAAAAGTACATAAACAATATTGAGATCCGAAAACAACTTTTGGTTTTACAATCTGAATGAATCAATTATCTTTCAATACAAAATCAATTTTAATTTTATTTTTTGTAAACCATATCAAAAGGTTGGAAGGAATCATCCTCTGTTTAAATGAAGGAGGATTCCACTATAAGGTCGAAGGTCAAGGGAAATTTTCTCATCGGAAAGACTCTCAGGGTGCGGAACCACACGCAATTAGCAGCGAAGGGTATGCCTCCGCCAATTAGTATATCTATCCCCGCGGCGTTCCAAGCGTGGTACGTTCACCGACTGGACCACCACTGGGCGAGGTGTCCTGCAGGGTCGGTCCTACGTTGCTACAAGTAGCAACGGGGGGGTCGTACTTTGATGAGTTTTTAGAGGGGGGGGTCGTACATTTTGATGAGTTTGTAGAGGGGGGTCGTACATTTTGATCGATTTGTAAGAAGTTGCATACCCCCCTAGAAAATGAAGCGTGGGATTAAAGGTAGGAGGGGGTAAATTGGTGGAAATTTAGGGAATTTAGGTAATTTTTACGGTTTCAGAGTGACTATATACCCCGCTCGACGGCATTTTTGGAGGAAAAAGTGGGCGGAGTTTTCGTGGGTTGAGTGATACCAGAATGAAATACTATAGCGAGGAATATGGTGGTCGAGGGTCGAGAGGGGGGTCGTACCAAATCCACCTTTGGGGAGGGGGGTCGTAAAAATTTTTCGAAAAGTAGCAACGATAGGACCGACCCTGCTCTGCTTCGTATAACGAAACCAGAAGTTGGCGTTGAAGAGGGCCGTAGCGATGAGAGTCTCATCAGTGCGGAAATGAACGGGTAGGGAGGGGTTCCCACTTCTGGGATTCTGCTCCGCTTCTCATGGTTTTTCCTCATCCCGGCCCCACTGACCACCTCTACCTTGATTCTAATGGTATGCGCTTTAATCTAAAACTCGCACGCCTATCTCTTCAAGCCGCTGGCCGGGTTCCGTTAGAGGCTCGGTGCCCTCTTACATTCTAATACTTCAAGGAATTGGCGACGTTCTGGACCAGATTTAAACCTCACCAAAAAGCCTATGATTTCCTCGAATGTCACTTTAACCATCTTACTGTACTTTTGATTGAATCTGCTAGTCCTGCCAAGCTTCTGAATCTGGAAACGTTGCAAGATCGAATGCGCGTTACTAGTGAAAGCGGCTAGAATTGTGAAAAAGTACCGAATAAAAGCGTTTCCATACCCTGACTGCTTTACAGATTAATATAGGGTGGTGAAGTTCGTACCATAAAGGTTGAAGAGCAATTGATAGGCTTGGAAATAGGTTTGGTGTGCGCCATGCGTCCAACCTCCATTAATAATTGTTGAGTTGTGCACATTAGGCAAATGCGTTCCGACGGTTGGCTTTTAACCAAGACAGTTTTCCTGAGAGGGTGAATAGCTTGTTCAGCGTATCGGTTAATTCACGTAGGCCGATGTCAGACTTTGCGAATCGCGCGATTCGCTAGCGTCTGCGGTCGCGTCGCGGCCAGTGAATCACTCAATTGGCTGGTACCGCAACGCGACCGCGGACGCTAGCGAATCGCGCGATTCGCAAAGTCTGACATCGGCCTTTCGCGGAAGCATCCTAGCGGAACCTTAGTACTCCGCCCATAAATAAATGTTGAAAATCTGGGAAACGCACATCAACCTTCCAAAGGTGAACTGTTGGGGGTTGGGGGGAGGGGGAGGGAACTGAATCGTCAGCGTTTACTTATCAATTTTTAAATATCAGAATCTGATGGTCTTTGTGAATGATTTGCCATTATTCTTCGAAATTTTCTGGGCTCCTACGAAATGTTCCAATCGCCTCCGACGCATATTTACAGCATTGTTTCTTGAACAACAAAAGAGCTATTTTCAGGAGTTTATTTGGTTTCGAATGACGAATTGATCTACACGCACTTGGAAAAGGAATGGGGAGATGCTGCTAACATCGAGGAAATCCGAGATGTCATCAAGAAATTCAAGTAGAGTGGAACGGCGACATTTGCGTCTCGTTGACCGTTCACTTAAGGCGATGAGAACTCCTGAATTCTTCTGTAAAAAGCGAAGTATTATGTGTTTATGAATGGTTCAGATCATTTTGTACCATAATCTGGATTCATTTTTTCTCAACGGGCTTTCTTGGACTCTGCTGTCACAGTGTAAATGGAAGAGCCTGTTAGTGTAAGTACAGTATGTATGTATCATATGACTTGAATAAAAATGAGAAAATTGAAGTTTTTCGGGCAGCAGAGTGCGACATCTTCGGAACACACCTTACTGGAGGATTGCTCTTTCGTTCCAACTGGAGTAGGGAAGGTAAATCATGTTCATTGAGATTGTCCGACTCCACAAGCCTCGAACCATAGGTAACACTGCGTTATTGGAATACCAGTTTAGCGGCGCACGCATTCGCGTGCATCACACGGGACTGCACTGAAAGGAAACAGGGCCATTGATATTTTTATAGTTCACCGTGGGAAACTCCGCAAATCCTTGGCGCCCACAAATAGCATTTGGCCCCATTCCTTCGCCAACCTTTATCCACTTTTCCCAGCCTCTGGGCTCTCTTCAACCTCTGTAATATCCCCGCCCACAATGACAGCTGCCTCCACTCCCTCCACCCACCTCTATCCACCTTTTTCCCGGCCTCCGGGACTTCTTGGAGCCGAGTTATGAATTTTCGTCGCAAACTCCGCCCACTTTGGTCAAGCCCCGCCCACCATTGACAGCTGGCCTCCACTCCTCCACCCACCTCTATCCACCTTTTTCCGGCTCTTTAAGACTTCCCCGACCCGAATTATGAGGGCTTGTAGAAAATGCTGTACACTTCAGAGCGCGCCCCGCCCATTGTGGGCGGGCCTCCGCCCACGTCATGTATGCAGGAAACACCTTAGACATTGCTCCCTTACACCAAATTGTTTTCTGCTCTGTAGGCTTTCTCCCAACCGAGTTATGAAATTTTTCATAAAGCACTGCTTTTTTAGAGAACGCCCCGCCCACCGGGTGGGTCTCCCTAATTCGATGTGACTTACCAATGCACACCTTACCCACTTTTTGGCCCAGTTTCGAGGTCGTTTTGTCACTGAAATCGAAATCTTGGTCTCAGTACAGTTCATTTCGATGCACGCCACGCCCACTGTGGGCGGGGCTCCGCTTAGCTGATGTGTGTTTTGTACTTCTCGAGACCTTGCCCACCCATCCCACACTTGACCCGGTCCTCCAGGCGGATCCCGAGGAGCTAGGGAATTTCGTGACAGACAGACACCGTGACACACACACACACAGACAGACATAGCGCATTATATATAGTAGGGATCTGGATGTACTGGAAGAGACTAGTTACCTCCCGTAATTGTATTTTGCAGTCCGTTGGATAATTTGTACATAGACACCGTGCGTCACGGTGGAAATCCAAATTGGAAGATGTGCTCATTTATATGTTGATTACCCCTTTTACGAGAGCGATATGGTGATGATGTCGAGGTCATTCACTACTTTTAGGTCGTTCACGGTGTTCAAAACGATCTAGGTCGTCACCACGGTCACCTCATTTCTCCGTCAAGTTGTTTAGCAGTCAGGATTTTTCCTGTACTGCCAGCTGTCCGTCTTCGAATACTTCTTCGTTTTTCACTGAGTTTCCGTACCTTTCTTTCCATAAGTTTCCTTACCTTTCTCACCAAACATTTGCATTTTCTTTTTCCGAAAGGGTACAATGCACTCGCCAAATACACCATAACCTCCTTTCATTAATTAGTCAAAATTATCAAATTCTTTTGGCTCAGAGTGTATATTCAGCCTTATCAGCGAATTTTGTGCAGCATCTAGCTTTCAATTTCGCGGTCCGCTGCTGGAATCGTTTGCGTCCTTTCTAGCCATGAAAATGATTTAAAGGACAAATTCTAATTGAAGTTCCACACGAATGCTGTAGAGCTGGGAGTGCAATTAACTCGAACGCGGCATAGTTATACCCTTTCCAATATAATTCCATAATTATTGACTGTCAAACAAATAGTTCTATAGCCCCTCGAAGAATCTCAGGGTCGTATTGCTGAAATTCCGGTCCAAGCGATGGAAGGAGACAGCGCTGTGAGTGTAGTTGTTTCATCTACTATGGATTGCCCAAGAAAGGAGTGTAAGCAAATAAATAGGTGCGAAGTGCCTAATGCTACGGGGACAGTAAACAATTTGTATCAAAAAATGCAATGCTATCAAAAAGACAATAGAGCAAATGCGAAGAGAATTTCTTCCCCCGTCATCGGCTCGATGTTCAGCACGATTCCTAAACTCAGCCCAATTTCCGTAGCTTTTGGAAGGAATGGGAGTAAGTCGTGTCAGGACACTGAATGGGGGACATCTGAATAGTCAATGGTTTTTTTTACAGCTTCCTTATTTTTATAATTTTTGTGTGCCTATGGGACGGGTTACGTTTTTGCTTCCAGTTCCAACAAATGATTACCCGACCAGTTGCTCCATCTGTAGCCAATGACTTGGGAGACGTTCAAGCATCTGGTGAGATGAGGAGAGCGGTGATGAGAGCTTCATGCTCAGGCTCAGGCTTAGACTTGCTGCGAGTGAAGTACGGTGATCTAATCAGAGATGGCCTGACGTAATCATAGACTTGATATGCATCCACACTGACTATAGCACTTATGTACGTAGAAAATCACATAAATTAGTCACTTGCATGTCAAAATGGCTATGAAAAACTTCGTGTTCTCAAGGCGGGCCGTGGAGGTTGTTGTGGAGGCTCATCTTCGCAGCAACATTTCAAAGGACAGTTATCGGGGAGGGGAGGATCCAACAATAAGTTCTGCGGCAATAAATTGTTGCTCCTGTTCATCTGCTCTTCAAAGTGACCGTTTCCTGTGTGCAATGTTAAGTGTTGTTCTTTCTCAAAACCTCCAGAATCTGTTGTACTTATTCCCTTGATTGATAGCATCTAATAGCTTCTTCAAATTTCAGAAATTGTTTTCGTCGACCAACACCTTTTAGAGTAGGCTAAATATCATTGTCTGGCATAATATCTTGTTCCATGATGTCATTTTATGTTAGGTTATATTTTCCGGCCACAAAATCGCCTCCTGCCTCTGTCCGGCATAGCAGGGATGTTTGCCCTAGCCGTTCATTATCAATATCGACATGTTCTGCATGAGTGGGGATGTTGAAAGGGACCTGAAGTTGTCCCTCAGGATAGATCGCGGGGTGGAATTGGTGGTTCGATTCCGACAGGACTTACGAAATCAAGAAAACTTTTCTTAGCACAAGAAAACTTCAATATTTGATTGATGCTACTTTCCATTCCCACTGGATCAATTTCTGGGGTAGTTACAAGGTTGAAGAAGGATCGAACTTTGAGCGTAGACCTTTGTTAAAGGTTTGTAAAAGTTTGTAAAAGTGGCTCCCATCCATCACTTCCCCAAACCTTCCCAACAGGAGTCTACGTGCGATCTTTCGATTCTAATGACCCCATTGAGGGTAGAGAATTTTAGTGCGGAACATTTAAGGCGGAGTTTACGATTAAAACGCAGCCAACTAGAAACAAGGTAGAAGTGGTCAGTGGTGCTGGGATGAAGAAAAACCATGAGAAACGGCCCAGAACCCGAGAAATGGGACCCTTCCTTGCCCGTTGATTTCCGCATTGATGCGACTCTCATCGGTGCTGCCCTCTTCAACGCTAACGCTCTCTCTGCTAAACGGCTAGAGACCTGCGGCGAGTGGTTAGCCAGTCGGTGGCAGGGTCAACCCTACGTTGTTACGAGTAACAACGGGGGGGGGTACTCAGTTGAGCTTGGAGGGGGGTCGTACTCTCTCGGTGGCCGGTAGTGGGATTCTTGGTAAAAGGATAAAGGATAAAGCATTTGCCGTTGATCAATCCCTTTTGGGATGCGGCACGCATTCTACTTCCATTTGTACATTCGTAGTGGCGTTTGAATGCGATGTGGCCTATACAATGACTTGCGGGGGCCAGCCGATGTACAAGTCAGTGTTTTTATCCTCCCAGACAAGTCTGGTACCAATTAACCGACCCCGGAGGGATGGAAGGCTTGGTTGGCCCGGGCGACTCACGACCCAGGATTTGATCCCCGGACCGCTCGCGTGGTAAGCGCGCCACT